GAGAAAATGTACCCATGCAGTCTTCAACTTTTGAAATGCAGTCTCACATGCTTCGTTCCATGAAAAAAACACATTCTTGCTTGCCATTCTAGTCAATGGTTTGTTGGGCTATGGCTGAGAAGGTTCAAACAAACTGTGATAGTACGATGCTAATCCCATGAATGACCGCAGATCACATACATTCGCAGGTTTTACGGTATGAGGTGATGGCCTCTTACCTTTCTCGGGCTTAAAGCACCAGTGCATGCCAGCGATCGGCCGCGGGCTCCTTTCGGAGGCTGCCCGCCACCGATTGATTTTGTATACAGCGCTCAGCCTCCTAAATTTTCGGAGAGGCTCAGAGCAGGTTCTTCAGTTGCCTGAGTCCACGTACTGGTGGTTTAAGGCCAGCAGCAGAGATATGTGCCCAAGATAGACAACGTTGTCCTTCCCAAACTCAGATTTCTCTACGTTCAAGTGTAGCTGCTAGATCTCGCGGCATGTTTTTGATGTATGCTTCTGGAGGGGGCAACAGGTTGTACTCCTGCCTGACTTGGGGAAGTGGACTGCCCACATGTCTCCCCAAGGCCCCCTGCAGCGCCATGATTCTTTTCCGCACTCATGTTAGCTGTCTCTTCCTTTCCATTCTCACTTCTTCCTAACCTGGTCTCAAAAAGTAAGCAGTCAACAATAATGTCTCCATTTTCAACAAAAAAAAAGAAAACATGTGAAGAAGTGGGGAGGCGGAATACCCCTCGTGGGAGCAGCAATTAATTAGGACTGAGAGAACTCAGACAATCATCGAGTTGTCCAATGACAAATAAACCAAAACCAAGTTCTAATTACCTGCTCGCTGATCCATAATGGAAAGGTTCTAATTCTACCTTTGGATACCATAAGGGAACAGCAGATTGAAGTAGTGAATCAAGTAGGTGCATGACTTCAGAAAGCGAGGCCAGATGGTTCATGCCACTTTACAACGACAATCTTGGACTCCTGAAGCCACCTGACAGGTGCACCCTGGCTAGCCGTCACTCGGCCGTCTGTCGAGTATCATTGGGTGGAGGGAAGGGCTATATCTCTCACGGGATCACTTCCCCATACTTGTGACGTTTCAACCTCAGGCCATGTGCTGTCTTCCGGTTGGAGTGATAAAAAAATGCACAACAGGCCGTGAAAGAACAGCAAAATGGGGTGTGCCAAGGATTTTTGGAAAATTGAGTGTGGGAACACGGACGGGACTGAAATCCCCCGTGTGGTTCCAGTTTTAGTGAGAAATGGCCGTTGCTGCACGCTGGAAGGAAATAGCGCGCACAACTCTCAAACATTCGTTTAATCAGAAAAGTACCTCTGAACTTCCATGCGGGCTACTCGATGTGTTTTCGAGTGAAAAGGCGGGGGTATCCAAGTGAGATCTCGTTTTCGAATTAAGACCCGGCGCCTCTCATTACAAAGCTCAGAATCTGACGTGGACGGCCTCAGCCCGGTCGCTCTTTCCTTGTGTTTGTCCTCACCACGTGTGGTAGTGGAACCCCTTTTCCCGATAACGCTTGGTGCGGCGACAATCGCTACATAAGAGTATTGGGCCAATGAGGTTCTACCGCTGTCCACGGGAGGGCAGTCAATTCGTTAAAAGACAATAATGAGTAAGGCGGGAAGTGAGTATCAATAATGACAAAACCAGCGCCTACAAACCCGAAGCACCTTGTTTCGGAAGGAAAGTAATACTGCCCTCCGACCTGTGCGATGGCTTCTCGTACGTTCCACTCACATACACGTGTCCTTTCCTCGTTACATGGGAACGGGCACTGTGGGGATATGGGAAGTCGGCTCCCAGTTGGAACAGGATAGTAGGTCCACATGGCATAAGCAGGCTGATTGCACTTGTTTATTCAATCCGTCATTCAATCGAAAGCATATCAAAGGAATAAACAGATACAACACCAGGTTCTCAGCCTCTTCCGTTCATACTACGGGCTGACTAGAGGCTTGAGTCCATGCAACTCGATCCAATCAAGAAGGCCACCATCATTCATTGAAGGGAGGGAAGTAAGAACAAACCATGTCCAGGAATCGGATACATCGAAACATCCGTCGGCCATATATGGGCATGCTCCTCTCCCAACAATCGGATACATCGAAACAGCCGTTGGCCATATATGGGCATGCTCCTCTCCCAACTGAGTTTTGCGTTCTGCTGAGTCTACCCGGTACAACTCCGATCGTCAAAAGTAAGTGGAGGAAGAAGCTTGACCTCTGTCCTAAACATACATCATTCATTCGTATGAGTAAGAAAATACAGCTAAACATGCATGAAAATAATCATACCAAGATCCAAATCAAAGAAACAGCTCAATCACTGCATTATGAGTATTAAAGATGATTAAAGGCCAAAGATCACTTATACATTCTAGGTGCGCATCATTCGTCATTTGCAATGGACCAAGGGGAGGTTTGGGACTAGATCTCTCGAGCTCGCTGGTCTCTCAAATTCAATGATGCTCGCCCTCGCGAGATTAGATTGAATTCAACGAAATGAGTGAGACAGGACCTCAGGAGTTGGTAGGGATGAGGGAGGCGTCAAAACATTCAGACATCCATGAAGGAAAACCCTGAGAGGAAGAGATGAAAAGCAAAGTCGAAAGATGTTGCGGGAGCTGTAGCTTGACCGAAGAAGGGGACTAAGGTAAGAGAAGGAGTTACAAGCATACAAGTAGATACGAGGAAAACCCGACATTCCACCATGGACTTAGCTTCCAAAATAAGAGGAGGAACCGAAAATCTAGGCGCGCAAGCCTTCTGCTATCTGATCATGGCTCCGGGCCGTGCAACCACTCGTACACACATACAGCTTCCTTACCCCGGCACTGGCGATCCCGAGCGCCACATACCAACCTCCACACCACAGCGGTTGTCACCCCGCTAACTCCGCTTCTATACCAACTTGCCCAGATCCCGCAGTTCATCGCAGCCACATGGCGCATAGCCTTGCAAAACTAGAGTCGCGTCGTCAGGACTTTTCGACTCGCCGTTCATCACATCATCTAGCCACTGCTTCCCTAAAGCTGGTAGATGGGTTGAGAGAGAGATTTTTGGATGCGCTTGCAGATTTTATAGTTGCGAAGAGGGAAGTAGAAGATGGGAGAGAACGGGGTGGGGGTAGGAGAGAGCGAAGAGAGAATAAGCGTTAATCGCCCGGGGAGGCCATATCGATCCGCGCGAGTTCTTTCGCAGCCAATCAAATTACAGTGTGAGGGGATTAATCTTCCTTGCACGATGCCGTCTGATGACTCGAACGCTTTCAGTGGGAGATCGGTAGGGAGTTCCTGTACGCTTTCAGGGGGAGATCGGTAGGGAGTTCCTGTATGCTTTCAGGGGGAGATCGGTAAGGAGTTCCTGTACGCTTTCAGGGGGAGATCGGTAGGGAGTTCCTGTATGGGGATGAAGGCGGGAAGAAGGAGGGCGCGAAGAGTAGTGTGGAGTGGGACTAAGATTCAGACGGAAGGAGAGGGAGAGAAGCTCGAAGGGAGAGGGGATGGAAAACAGTTACGGGTGAAAGGGAGAAGGCGCAACGAAGAGAATGGTGAAGATGGCATGGGGCACAACGGGAAGCGGGGGAAGTTTGCATGCATGGCGCCGGGGGAAGTTTGCATGCATGGCGCCACCACAGTGACTAAAAGGCACCAAAACAGTTATGTTCCGTCCATGGTAGCTCTAAAACTAATTCAAGATTGAAAAATTCAAAAACAATATCTGCGCGCGGAATTGGACACACAAAAATCCTACGCCTATTTAGACCCCTACTGAAAATTCACAGAAGGGCGAATTTCGAAACATTCACTTGCAAGAAAGGACACGTCAGCAGGAAGTGCGCCGACAAATTCCGGAGTTCCCAACTGCCGAACAAAATTCCTAGCGTGCTCACTAAGGCACGCGTAAGTCCTACGTAAATTCATGGATTGCTGGAGAGAAATTGCAAAAAAGTCCGAGAAAAACAAGTCTTAAAAGTGGGAAGGCCTTGGCGGCCATAGATTCCATGCATTACCCGTCATTCGAAAGGGAGGGTACCCCTAAATAAAAAAGAGAATCAAAAGCAAAAACTCAGGGCTTCTGAAGTTCGTTTAGGTACGGAAGCTGGCACGTCACATACTTGAGAGACATATCCTAGCCCATCTGAGACCTAGACTTGCCTAGTAGGCATCCAAGCAACAACTGAGACTACACAAACATGGGTTTGATTTTGGGAGAGTCGGCTACTAGGGAAGGTGATGCAGGCAGCCGCCCCTAGTAGCTGCTCCGGGTGCTCCAATCTATTGGTGGGGAGCAGCACCTGCTGGAAACCGAGTCCAGCGTCCGACTTGTGAACATCTGAGAATAACGACCCATGTTGGATCAAGCAACCAATTCCTGGCTGCCAGCATTGACTGTCCCGTGACACCCGAGGGGTTAACTGAGAAGCCGCTTGATGGCTTGGCCGAGTTTGCCAGGAAGGTGGACTGGAACGTCTGGGCTAGACAACCTGGTGTAATGGACAGTCCAACAACCCTTCTAACATAATCTGGTGCATATATCCGCACAAGTGGGCCAAAACCCTCCTCCGTGCAAGCACGGATTTGAACCGGCGACCTTGGCCTCAGGAGCCAAGTCTCTTAACCACTATAGCCAGGACACGGTGTTAAAGGTGAACAGAAGAGAAGGCCCCGCCTGCAATGGTGAGGATTTTACATGTCTTTTCAGTTTTATCTCAGCCACGGCCATTTGGGCTGGGGTTTGAATAGTTTCAAGGCTGCGTTTGAGTATCAAAATGCGGCAGCACTCCTAAAGCTGTGTGCGCCTTCCCTCACGTTATTGGTGTAAGATATTTGACCCCTCATTCTCATATGAATTGTGTTCATGATAATAATGCTGATGCTGGTAGTAATGTTGCATGCTGTAGGAGCAGTCTTTGGGAAGACTGAATGAGGTATTGGATGCATCTGGTTATGTGGCTGGTTGTGCACAATGCTGTTTGAAATGCGCAGCAAGAGACCGACTCTAAGGAGTTTCTGGCCGAGGCAGGTGGTTGCAGCATTGGATTACTTCCTGGCAATGCAAAGAAGAATCGCTATTGCGATGTCATTCCATGTATCCTTCTTCTTTTACTTGCTTCTTTGCTGTTGTCTTGAGAGGTTACCTCCCGTGGCGAGACTGGGGGGAGATTGCTTGATTCTTGGCTATGTATGTCTGGTGCTATTTGGTGGCTGACAGTGGCCTTCCCTTAATAAATCTCCTGTCCCAGTGTGAAGTCACTCTTGCAATGGTCGTCATGTATTTTCGGATGACATTTTTAAGCTTAATGGAAAAGACATAAAGGCTGTTGAACTGCCATGATGCCCAAGCCTAAGCTGCATAACCTCACATTTCTGACTGTGGGTCGTCATGTATTTTTGGATGACGTTTTTAAGCTTAATGGAAAAGACATAAAGGCTGTTGAACTGCCATGATGCCCAAGCCTAAGCTGCATAACCTCACATTTCTGACTGTGGGCGCCCTATCTGCCTCAGAGTACAGCTATTCACAGAAAGTGCCTATTGGCCCATCGTATGCCGGTTGGAATTTCAGAAGAGGTGGATGTGCTGGTAGGACGGATTTTGGTTTGGGCATGGTTGTTGATACAAGGGAACGGACTCAGTGTGAGAGGAGTACTGTCTTGCAAACAATAGACTGTAGTCATTGTTGCTTTCACTGTTTCACAGTTATGGATGGGATATTGCGGTTCTTGTTCGTCTTCCCCTTTCAGCCGTACCTCGTCCCTCCCCTCTTTCAGCCGTTCCTCCCCTCTTTCAGCCGTCCCTCCCCTCTTTCAGCCGTACCTCATTCCCTCCCTCCTTCCCTCCCTTCTCTCCCTTCTCTCCCTTCTTTTMCCCCGCCTCTCGCCTACTCACCCTCCTCTTGTCTCTATCCCTTGGTCTGTCCATTCCTCGTTCTTCTCTTTCTCTATCCTTCTACTCCCCTCCCTATTTCCTTCTCTGCTTCCCTACTTCCCTCCCTCCATCCGTACATCCGTCCATCCCTCGCCCTCCCTCCACTACACATTCGTCCACTCTGCCCGTCTCACCTTTGGTCAGGGGCACCTTGTACTCATGCCAAGGATGGCCCTAGAGAAGCCCAGGCTGACGTGCCGTCAATCCTGAATCATCGTACGGGCCATGGCGGTGGTCTACAGGCACTCATGCATACACGCCCATAATAGCAGCAGGTCGCATGACAGTGTCGCACATCTGTGCCTGTCACTGCGCCTTTCACTGTGCCTTTCACTGTTCCTTCCACTGTGCCCATCATTGTGCCTCTCTGAGCATTCAGCTGTGCTTTTCCGCCAAGAACAATGAGGGAAATTGCTTGAAATGCAAGTCAGTTTCCTCTCAACTAAGGTTTTCTCTGCTCTACCTTGGGCCAAGGTCCCGCTCACCCGGATTTTTCACTTCCAAGTGTAGATTGCCAAGATTGACACCCAGGAAAGAAGAATCAGGCTAAGTTTGTCCATTGTCCTTCCCCCTGTTTTTTCCCCAATGTCTTTAGCTACCTTGAACCTTCCACTTGCCATTTTCGCTCTACTTTTGCGTACTGTGTTTTTCAATTCCTAATTTGCTATTGTAAAAAATTATCAGTTTAATTTTCATTGGGTGGGAAGGGGGGTGCATCGCGGTGGGGGATTTTTTTTATGGTATAATAATAATCTGGTGGTACTACTCACCAATCCCTGCATGTGATGTTCTCGTGCACATGCCTCTGGCAATAAGTTTTTTCTGAGAGATGGAAGTTGTCCTTCACTGAATGTTGTCAGTTGATAATTCCCGTGTGAAATTGTCGAATAGTGAGGTGCGGATGACTGGGACTTCAACAGATATTGAGGGGACAGCGGACTACATAAATGCGAATTTTGTAAAGGTAAAGTAAAATGCTCTGCAAGTTCTTACATTTCTGTCTCCCTGCTGGGAGGGACCCTCGCACTACCTGAGTTTGAACTTGTGTCCCAAAGTGTGAAACGTTGGAAACCCATGGTTTGTAGTTCGGGGTTGTTTTTTTACCTTGTGCTGTCTGTGAGACCACCCTAGAAAATCATGGTTTTTTTTTTTTTTTTTTTTTTTTTTTGGATTTTCTATCCGTGGCTTATTTCTTATCTTGTGGTGTTTGTGAGGGCCCGCTCGGGGTATGAACCTGTGAACTCCCACACACTTACTCTCGGCTACCGTCTTCAGCCAAATAGAACGCCCGGTCATTATGGCTGCATCTAGACTGAAAGTTGCCCCAAATACGGCTATAATGATCGGGCGTTCTATTCGGGTGAAGACGGTAACCTGTGGCTGCGGAGTTCAGAGGATTGCATCATTATTTTATGGGCAAAGGGTAATGAATTCGCTCCAGTCAGTGCACAAGGTCCAATCGGTGCTCCTCCTGTACTCGCTCTCGGGCTCTCCTGAATGCATCTGAATGGAACTTTGGCCAAATGCACCCCAAAAAGGCCTAGGTAATGTGTGAGCATTCCCTTAGATGGGGAGTGCCTCAGATCTAGTGGTCTAGGGTTTCGTATCAGGCAAACATATATCGGTCACTCCTGCCTCGCCTTCCGTATGGTTTTGACAGCTTGTCATGTTTGCCTGGGTTTGCATGCTCTCAATTTTTCGGTCTGCTCTGCTGTGGTGTCGCCCTGCATGCTGAGCTTTCTATTATTCACCTATCGACTTCCATACTACCTTCTTAACCCGAAAAAAACGTACGTACCTTGTATATGAATACAACGTACGTACGTTATAGAACGAGTTTTAGGGTACAACTTTTCAGAAGTCTGTAGTACCGCCATTGTTTTTATTTCTATCTCAAATTTGGTTGGGAATTTCGCCAAGACCCTCAGGCAAAAGTTGTTTGCATTGCAATGTTGTACAACATACTTTTTTTTTTTAGATTTTGTACTGAAGTTTTTTTTTTTAAATCGAAAATCTGAAAAAAATCAGTAAAAAACATTTTCAATTTTTCATCCTCGTTTTTATTTTTTTCTCGAATTTTCTCGTGAATTTCGATAAGACCCTCAGGCAAGTGTTGTTTGTATTGCATTGTTGTATAACATTTTATTTTTTCGGGTTTTTTTAATTATGTTTTAAAAATCAAAGTTCCAAAAATTCGAATACAACATACGTACGTTGTATTCGAATACAACGTACGTACGTTATATTAGAACGTACATTCTATTTGGGGAAAAACAAGCGATTTCTGAAAACCCGATTTCCAGAGGTAATTCGAATAGAAACGTACGTACGTTTTTTTCGGGTTAAGAAGGTAGGTTTTAGAGATCGTGACTTTCTCGTTGTTGTGTGATGAGCCCATCACAGGGAGTGGATCGCATTTAGGTGTTAAATAAGATGTTTATTGCATGCCCCTCTGCTTGGGCTCACTGTATGCTGACAGGTATGTGGACACTGTGTATTGTTCCGTGAATGGGTATGGAGCCCCGTTGAGAAAACACAAAAAACTTACTGGAAACTTGTGGAAAGGCATTCATGTGATTGCCTACTGCTCAGGGTGATAAAGTCGTTTATGTGATTGCATACTGCCCACAGTTGGAAAGGGGGAAGGCGGAGGTGGATGGCAGACTGTGTCACAGGGGGATAGGAAGATGACAATTGCTACTCCCCAGGGTGATATTGATGCTTGCTATGTGTTGTGTTTCGGAAGCTGAACTGAGTAGGCGGTCCAATATGGAAGAGGACCGGTGTTAGGCGGCCACAAGCAGTGCGCCGCCTGAAATCTACGGTTTTGGGACTTAGGCGCAAAGACGAGTCTGAGTTTTGATGGTACTCTGGTTAGACCAGGCAGCGGAAATTAGCGGAGCTCAGGGCGCCCTTGATTTTGGGCGCGCTGAACCTTACGGGTAACCCTGAAAGATGGCGAGATGGGTGGTCGCACTCGGCACATCAACGGACCGTCATTTCCGGCCGTTCAGAGGGTTAGACCCGGATCCGCGGCATCGCGGGAACTGACCTCGCAGCAATGTTTTTTGCGGCATACGACCGGGGCCGAAATGAGGCCTCAAATTTTTGTCTATTTTAGTACCATAATTAAAGATGGGGAAAAGGGATTACAAGCAGTAGGGGAGAAGGGAAAAACATAATATCCCTTAATTTCTTTATTTTTTACGGCATTTAATTCAAGGGGGAATACCCTTGTTATTTTATGTTCCCGGCAATGAAATTAAAAACATAGAAAAATATTAAAAATGGTAAAAGAGAAAAGAAACAAAAGGAATTCGGCCATTTATTTAAACTTTCTCGGAATTTAATTTTGGGGAACTTACAGTTAATTTACTATTTCCGACAATAGAATTAAGGAAAGGGAAAAATGATGAAAAACGATGAAAGGGACGGGAACCCATGACTATTGGGAGATTGGCCTAATTTCGCCTCGATTACCCGCCATCAGCTCTGACTCCGGATTGATAATTTTCCCCGGATTTTAACAAGTTAACACTACTGCCGATGGTCGAGGTTCCCTGCGACGTTTTCCCTTGTGTGCTTGATTACTAACACTACCGCAGTTGAGATGTTCTGAGAGCAGGAGTCGCATGGACAGCATGGGGTGGTGCTGCCTTGGGTCGACTATGGTGTTTGGTTCGGTACAGATACGAGGGTTGTTACGGAGTAGCTACGTCCTACGGTGTCTGACGTGCTTCAGGTACGGTATGGGCCCGGTGACAGCTGTCTCACTACGGTAACTTATTTTCAGGTTTGGGACAACTGCGGTGATTTATTCTCAGGACCGGGGCCACTACGACAGTTATTCCAGGCAGCAGTTTGTTTTCAGGTCCAGAAACGTTGCGGCATTCTATATCAGGTTCGGGACAGGTTATCATGGCATGATTGTACGGGTTCGGCATCCGCATGGCACAACAACCCGGTACTGGATTTTGGGTTTGGTCAGGTTCGGTGGCATCGCGGAGTTTCGTTTCAGGTTCGACGCCCTCACGACAGTTTATTTCGGAACCTCTGCGGTGATTTATTTTCAGGTCCGGGATCATTGCGACGGCTTACTTCAGGTTCGGTACTATTACCGCGCCGTTGCATCTTGCCGTGTTCGACATGTTTCAGGTACGGTATTGGTTCGGCATTGGCGTGGTACACGCCACAGCATCATTTTCAAACTTGGTACTGGATCGGTATCGACACGGTGCGAGGCACGGGAACCCCGGATGGTTATACCAGGTTCGGCTTCGGTATGGTAAGAATTACAGCGAGCCTGACTGAGTGATCCGGGTTTGACATTGACAGGTACGGATTGCTGAGATATAACGTCGAGACAAGTTCTAGTTGGCTAGTTCAAGGTTCGGAATTGGTATGGTGACGCCGCAACTTGTTCCATGGGACACCGCAACGGGGTACCAATATTTTTGTGTGTGTACTAGCCTGGGACACTTACGCCCGCTGATCCAGCAATCGGTCGGAGATTGCCACATTTGCTCCGGTTCTATGGGACTTGGTACCGTCAAACAACTGGTATACGGGTAGTGTGGCCAGCGGCAGATAAAAGTGATAACCTTTAGACATATGCAGACTAAGGGGGGGTTGGTTACAGAGCTGTTTTTTTTTTGGTGGGATTGGGCTCAGCTTGTCTGGCTCAAGGGACTACTTCTACTACCCGAAGACCACTGGTACTGCAGGGTCTGAAGGGTCACGCGGTTTCGCAAGGTACCGTGAGGAAACTGGCAGTACAGGTGGATCCGCATGGGGGGCCCTGCCCCGACGCCGTGGCCACTACGGGCCTAAGTGCTTAGTCGCTCAGATATCACTGACCCGCTAAAGCCCGTGGCAAGGAGGGGGATGTAGGGGACTATCTCGGCTCRRAACCATTGCGAAACTCGTCGGAGCTGTCTACGCCAGTGGGCTGAAGCTGGTGCCTGGGTACTGTGGACGTCGAGCCTGTGAGACCGGTACCACTGTTTTCTTTTTCCTCTGGGCGCGGCGGACTATTTCCTGCACACTTGCACTCTGAGAAGGCCCTGGTCGTTCAGACCATGGGACTGAAGGGGATATAGGGGAGAACAGTGAAGGGAATGGGATTGCATGCCAGGTGTGCCCGACTTCAAGCAGTTGCAGAGTGGGAGACGAGCTCGAGGCGGAGACATCGGCGCCCAGGCGGTTACGCCGAGAGAGAGGGGAGAGGCGGACGCGAACAAGGCGTACCCGCGAGTGCAAGCGCGGGTGAGACGCATCGGCGCTCAGGCGGTTACTTGCGTGTGAGAGGGAGAATGAGAGAGAAGGGGACTGCACATCGGGAGTGAGAGACTTCGTGTGAGAGGGAGAGTGAGAGAGAAAGGGACTGCACAGCGGGAGCGAGAGACTGCGTGTGAGAGGGAGAGTGAGAGAGAAGGGGACTGCACAGCTGGAGCGAGTGACCGAGGCGAGCGTTGCTGTAGCTTGTGTGATTGTCTCAAGTAATGTCAGCCCTCGTATATGACGTCAACAGCAAGAATGACCAAGGCAATGGATGCCTGCTAGGACTCCTTGGTGACGTTGTATGAACTAGAGTTAATGTCCATGTGCAATCTGTTGGAAGAAAGAGAAGAGAGGGAGGTAAGATAGTTAGAGAGAGACAAAGAGGGTTGTGTTTCCTTGATTATGAAATTAATTAGCCTGGTTGCAAATGCTTCCAGGTTCGTTCATACCTGAGCTAGCCAGTTCGCCACCAGCACTGGATGTAGCAGGGGGGGGATGCTCAAACTCTATCAACGCGCAGTGCAGAGCAGACACATTATGAGTATTTAACCTTCAATGTTCTCGCTGAAGATTCAACCATCACGATTATCAGATGAAAAAAAATAATAATAATAAAATAAATATATACATTTATATATGCGGTGATGTATCTTTTGATGTTGATGTTCTGGTTGAAGCAACAGTTTTCATTCCCCTCATCTGGTGAGCAATCAGGCGGGACCCCGCAGTGCACAGAAGACAAAGAATATGGTGATGCATCTGCCCATGTTTTTTTTGCTGAAGGTTCGATATCATCTCCTGGTTTGGTGAGGTGTGGAACTAGGCCTATGGTACTAGGAAGACAAAGCAAATGGCAGTGTATCTATTCATGTTCAAGCAGGGCATTTATTGGAGACTGATCTACCAGTTGACAGCGCACAACAGAGAGTGAAGGGGAGAGAAAGACTGAGTGGGTGCGTGCGTGAGAGTGAGTTTCACAAGGAGAGAGAGAGAGAGAGAGAGAGAGAGAGAGAGAGAGAGAGGACTGAGTGAGAGAGAGAGAGAGCGGACTGAGTGAGAGAGAGAGAGACGGGCAGCAATGACAGAGAGAGTAAGAGAGTAAGTAAGGGTTATTCAAAGAGAGTGGACAGAGAGCGAGTGAGAGAGAAAGTGAGTGTCTGTGAGT